CAATGCTTTTAGACTAGAGTTAATTATGCTTTGAAAAATAATTGCCTGGACGTGCCCAATAGTGATACTAGCAATTGGTCAAAGCATTTTATTATGAGGATTGTCTTCCGTTAATTACGAAATTCGTGCTAGTGTCTAAATGTGAATCAAAATTCCGTTCAAGGCTGAATGCGACCAGACATGGCAAAATCAGACCCGAATAGCACACAGTATTTGTTCGCTGAACTATCTTCGTTTTTCGCTATTTGCTTCTTAAAAATAGACGTTTTTGGTCCCTCAGATTAGCCGATATCAAAACATACCCATTTTGCTTACATTACATTAACCGATTTCCCATTTTTTCTCATTCCAATTCACAGCCAACCAATGCAATTTTTCATACAGCAAGTGCGTTTCTGGTGGCTTAGACCCAAAGCAAGTGGAGATTAAAGTATGAAAAACGCAACATGAACCAGATGTTTTTTCAGAGAATCTAAACAGAGGCTTGATTTTTATTTAGCTTTGCTCTCGCATCCCTGGCATGACTGCAAGTGGGCAGTCCCCTATCAATGTAGTCATGTACCGGACTGTTGATCAGGTACATTCTCAGAAAATGTGCCAGCCGTGCCAATGAGAAGAGACAGGCCTAGGAACAAACCCTCAATTCGTCAGTGACGAATGAAGGAAATTTTGCCGACATAAATAGCGGGTGCACTACGGAGTGCGGTCCTCGAGGTCCCACGTGGCCAAAGTGCGAAAAGCAAGATTCGGCGAGTTCCATGCAGCGGAAAGAGACGACGGCTAAACTAAAAACGTCACGCTCCTGGTGTTCATAGTTGGGTTACGTAGTGAGTAGGTTTCGAGGCTAAGCATACCTTGTGATGCCGGTGAAGTGCAACTAGCATTGATGTTAGAGGAGTTTTCATTTTTGGTTTAAGCAGGCTAGTCTATCAAGTGACAGACGAAAGGCCAGTACGGATCCCTCAGGGTCGCGGGACTATGCGCCGACGACTTATCTCCAAAAGGGCAATCCTCCTCAGACTTCCGATGAGGTACGGTTACGAATCCCTTCTAATCGCCCCTTCAAAAGAAATAAAAGGGACACCAACATCATTCGAGTCACAACTATCCTTCCTACACTTGAACGTAAAGAACAGATTCCAACCAACTATATGAGCTCACACCAACATAAATAGACAATTCTTCATCCTTCGTACTGCCAAGGCACCAACGTCAAGACGATGTAGAGCCATTGCTACGAAAAAAATTTAAGTTTTAGAAAGATCTCAGTAGGTTTCTGCGCAGACCAAAGTTCAGCCAGGAACGACAACCAATGCAGCAGCAGCAAGTGGCTTCATCATCACGTAGAGCATGCAACAAAATATGCGGTAATCACCTATCGATCAGTTGACCAAGGTTACGCAACTTAGCAGGAGCACGGGTGAGGCTAGCGGCTATCTACATCAATCATATGAAAAGACTCCATGACAAGGACTTAAGCATATATGAAGCATGTATGCAGGCATAAGAGGCTGGCAAGCAACGCAATTTAGCAAACATGCGGCTTGACTGGCAGTTCGATTTGTTCGAGAATAAAACGAGAAGGTAAAAAGAAGTCGCGGAATCAGGTCACATGCTTTTAGGGTGCCTAATCGATCGTGAAAGTGACCTTATGATAAGAAAGAGCCTTAGCATAGGCCGAGACTATCCACTATCGGTAGCGTCTACGGGCAGTCACCGGTAATCGCCCCTTTGCACAGCCAAGAGCCGGCGAGGCTGTTTCTTATTAGGCCAAAGTAGTGTCTGCCACGCCATTGCGATTAGACATAATCGACTGGCATGTCGGAGTGAACGCCCAAATGAAAACCGGATTTGCAGGCCGCACAAGTCTGGCCACATGCTAAAATTGCGGCGACCACTGGGAGAACCCTGCGGGCCCTGTCACCCGAACGAGGAGCGTCGGGAGGCCTACGCTTGCTGAAGAGGCAGTGAGTCATGATCAAAAGTGAACTGGCAGTACTGATGCATACATATGGCCCAAAGGCGGCCAATTGGTTGTTTCTTTTCATCAACTGATTGGTCTATTTGCCTGTGGATCTGTCGATCGTGCAGATTATCGACTTTCAACTTGGCGAAAGCATGGGGCATGCTTAGTTCAAGTAAGCAAGTAGAGTTTTGAGACTACCAGTAGCTTTAAGTGGCTTCGAAAAAACTATTATTTGTGACTGCTTACCAGACCAGCTGGATGGTCTAGTGCGGCCTAATTGGAGAATCCAAGAGAAACTATCTTAAGGCATAGAGTAGATTCAATCGTGATTATCAAATCTGATTAGGGCCTCTCAATGATCGGAGGTGTTGGGCGATATTTTGTCGTTAATTCAGCTCCATGTCAAACAGAAGTATCATGTCCGAACTTAGTTTCGATGCTGTGTTCACCCTGGGTGTCAAAAGATGGTATAAGTATGCTTGATGATGCCACTTAATCTTGCTTAGCCCTACCTCCCAAAGGGTATTCAGGGTGGAATGGATGATTATTTTTCGACATGCTACCAATGCGCCACACTGGCAGTCACCAGTGGGTCACAGGGAAGACGTGAATTGCAAGACAGGCCAGGCATTTTCCACGTTACCTTTACACTCGACTTGCCGATGTAGCAGTTGAATTTTATTTCGTTTTGAGTAGGTTGTCGTGACTACCGGTAGTGGCTAACGTGTCGAGAATAAATGCTGCACTCTCATGGTTCGACTCTCGCTGGGGGTGCTGATAAGGCTTAGGCAAGGGCGAAACGGCAACCCACCTTTTTGGGAAGCAAAGCTATGTGAAATTGAATGGAAACGTCAGCTGTACTCATATCATTGTGAAAAAGTTCAACTGCCACTCCTTCATCACCTCAAGCGAAATAGGGTGATCAAAACTAATAAAGTTGAATTTTGTCATCACAATCGATTACGTTACTTATGCTTATACTTGTTAGTTTCGAGACTAAGAGTACATCTTTAATAAGAAACGTGAGAAGAAAAGGGCCGGAAATGCCTGGTATGCCTTGAAATTAAGGTCTGAATTCTGACGCCTTAGCAACCGTGGTGGTTTGGCTGCACCATCCGGGTTCAACTTCCGTTGAGGGTCCTAATGAGCCCAGGTGGGGTCGAAACCGCAGTCCACCTTGGTTGGCGATGCATTTTGGGAGGCGAGGTTAAATGAAACTCAAAAGCATCGTGAGGCCTCCCATAGCAGCACGGGCAAATTCTAACATCGATCAATGTATGGTTAATACAGATCGTAAACAGAAGAATTGTCCCAGAGTTGAGACTCTGCGAAAAAGTTTTCATCTTACTCGAAAAATCATTGGTATACTTTCGTCTGTACGCTGTTACAGACATCGTCAGAGCGTGAACCCATTCTTTAACTGAAATTCACCGAAGACTAGAACAAGAATGGATGACCCAATCCCACTGGTTTCTTTCAATCTAAAAAGAGGGAGCGAGTTTAGAAAAGCAAGAAGCATCTCTGGCTTAGATATGACAAGATGGGTTTCTAAGGCTCCCTTGTAGTAACCTGTCGCTATTTTTTCCTACCATAATTGTCAGTTCCGTTACATCATGGGGCAGATGTCTCGTCAAATACCCGCCTTACACAAAGACAGCTCGTTTTTCAGCACGACCAAACAAATCTCGCTACTGCACCAAGTCCACACTGATCCATCAGATAGGAGCCTCCTAAATCAATCAATCAAAGATGAGATTTAAACTTATTCTCATTTCGAGCGAAAGTGTGTGGTGAAGAGATTCGAATGTCAATCCCGCGAGAAGACGACGGCGGATTCCTCTTGACCACTTGTCGATTGGCTTTACCGTGACATTCTTGGTAACGCTATTTCCGAACACTTTCACTCGGAATCGAAGCAAACTCAATGATTACGAAATAAGGGAGTCTTCAAAACTCAACTTTTCTTCGCACAAGCGACAAGGAAGTCTAACAACCACCTCCAAGGCTTTAACTATCTTGTGACTAGCGGTCTTTTGCTCTCTTTTGACATTCAATTCCACAAAATAAAGGTCTTTTCCTTTTGGCAAGGGTTGGAACATCTCAGTGCGCTGTACAAAGTTAAAATCAGATTAATAAAAACGTACTAGATTTATATTGGCGTAGCTTTCATTTGTTTGAGAGGGCGGATACAAATAATTCGTGAATTAGCCGCACTGGGAGCCGAAGAATGGACTGTTGTATAGCGCTCAAAAGTCCTTGGCTCACCTTCCGGCGACCTGGGATTCGCCAGGGCCGCAGGAAAGTGAGCTGACGAAATTTTGAGCGAATAAAACGCCGCTGTTTCTAAGTCCCATCGCCTTGGTTTCCCACACGGGCAAGTTGCGAATTCAGCCCACCAAAATTTCTATTTGGAATAAGAGCTCCATTAGTATTAGGCCATTAAGAGATTCTTTGGGAACCATATTCTATAAATACAAAGGAAGGAGATTGTAGAGCTTATGTAGCCATGGGAATGCCATTGAATGCCGATACATAGGCTTTGAAATACCATAGGCCTAAGACATTGGCCCGTGAAGACAAATGAACCACATACGGTGGCGATTTGTATCCGGAAGGCAAGGAAGACAGACAACTCACCCCGAGAGCTGGTTAGGGATAAGTTATAATAAGTTGATAAATTGTAACTATGTACTTACGATGGCACCAACACAAGGCTCGTCCTCGCCACAACCTAAGCCAGACTGGTCGCTACTGAGGCCGTAGGGAATGGAGTAGTGCTGATACAGGCTGACCCGCTGAAACTGCTAAATCTTAGTGATCGGACCTCGGCTCCAAGGTGTCCCCCGGACGTATCATCCACTAATTGTTGAGTTCGCTTTCATTTCGAGTAAAAGTGTTTGGTGAATAAATTCGAAGGCCGATCTCACCAGAAGACTGGCTTTATTGGAACGCTATTGCCAACGGTGTTTCCGAGACAATCTCCCTCGATGCCGGTGAAAACGTGCTACGATTTCGTCCGTCGTGCGATTTGCATCATCCGATAAGAGTATCATCCTTACAAACATATCCGATTGACGAAACGTAGCATGTTTACACCAGAATCGAAGGAGATTGTCTCGGAGACAATGTCAACAGGAATGCTCCAGTAAAGCCAATTGGAAGCTGGTCAAGAGGAATCCGCCGTCGTTTTCTGGTGTCGTCGACCTTTGAATATCTTCGTCAAACACTCTCACTCCAAATGGAAATGAGCTCAGTGATTATACGCCAGTAGATTCCTCGAAACCCAACTTTACTTCGTATAGCATTCTTACAACCAGTCTATCTAAAGAAAAGTAAAGAAAAGTGTCCGGCTTATCTCCCAATTCTGCATATATGCCGGAATGTTCGAGTAAGGCCAACATAAAGCAGGGCAAGAGGAATTCGCCATCGTCTTGAGGTGGGATCAACTTTAGAACCTCTTCATCGAACACTTTCACTCGAAATGGAAGCGAACCCAACAAGTACAAATACGAGAATATACGCGTAGAAAAGTTGGGTTTCGAGGAC